TACCTGTGAAAAAAATGAAAAATTGCAAATAAGGCCAATTTCAAATTCCTTAAGAAAAGTAAATGACTATTTTTGATTTGATATTTTTCTTTTCAGACTTTTCTAAAAGGATTTTAAACTTTGGTTGAAATAAGACTGGGTTTTATTTATTTGTTGAAAAATATCTGAACACCTAATCTGTGCCAGCATATAGAAACAGTAGTATACAGGCAACTAAGTACCTGGGGCATTGTTGTATTTAGGGGGAAGAAGTTGGGCAGTAGGCAGGCAATACCAAGAGACTGTCTTTTAGTTTTGTGTAGATGGGGGCAACGACTTAGACTTGATTTTCATTGCATTGGGCACCAATGCAAAGCAGGAGGGTGAATAATTTAAGCAAGGTGAGGACAGCCTTACTTGCTCAGCCAGTAAAGTAAAACTAATGCCCCAAACAATGTTTTAAATTTGTTTCACACAGTTTAAAATTTCCTTTTGAATAATTGATGCTTAGGAGAGTATGTCGATTTATTTAAATGTTTCTTCACAAGTAGAAATCCTTAATTCTCCAGTTACCATCATGAGAATTGGATGACAGAGCTATATATTTAACCAGTTAACTGCCTCGATATTTTGAATTTAAACAAAAAAGGTCCGCTGCTTGCGTCTATAGATGCTTATGGTGTACAAATGGTTAACTTATCATGTTACTCTAATAATATATCATATGCTGTTTTTTGGAATATTTTCTTCATTACCCAGTTTGTAAGATAAAACAATATACTGTGTCATTTAATTAATAGTTTTATTTTTTATGGTTATAATTCCGTGTTCAATAATTCATATCCTAATATGTGAAGTTCTGAATCTAGTAACATTTTAAAATATTTTTAAAACTTTTTTTTCCAATAGGATTCCATATGGCTCTCATATTATTCCTTTTCATCTTTGCCAAGATTTGGATACTGCAAAAACCTGTGTTTGTGGAAGATTCTGTCTAAACAGTTTTATTGAGGGAATGACTACCATGAATCTACACTCTGTTGCTCACACTGTGGTCTTAGTAGATAATATGGGTGGCACTGAAGCACCCATTATTTCTAATTTCTGTTCTCTGTCATGTTACGCAAATTCCTGTGAAATGCTAAAGTAATAGATGATACCACGAAAAGAAATTACAGATCAGTTTGGGATTCATTTATGGTTTAACAATGTCACATTGGAGAAAGGGAAGCTTTTTTTGCATACATACATGTTTGAGGGGAAGAATGTGTGTTAGCTAACATTTTCAATAATTTGACTGGAAAACCTTGATTTCATTAAAATCTGATTTTATTGTGGGGTTAACTTTTGTGTTTATTGCACTTGTGTTGATTTTAGCCTAGTGTGTCCAGAATAGGTTGTGGGGTTATCTTTTAATGTTAAATAGATAGTAATCCCAATCACTCTGGTCATAGAATTTTCTTACCAACTTTCTTCTTTCATAAAATAAAATGAAAGAAATTGAGTTTTTGTATGCAGAAAATATTCCTTGGAGAATTAATACGGTCTAAATTAGCGGTTCTCAACCTGTGGGTCGCGACCCCTTTGGCAGTCGAACGACCCTTTCACAGGGGTCGCCTAAGACCACCCTGCATATCAGATATTTACATTACGATTCATAACAGTAGCAACATTACAGTTATGAAGTAGCAACGAAAATAATTTTATGGTTGGGTCACAACGGAACTGTATTTAAAGGGCCAGAAGGTTGAGAACCACTGGTCTAAATTATAGTGAAAACTTGTTTGGTATGTAAGTTTTTAAGTTATACCACCTATTCTATATATAGAATTTCACATTCACCAAGTATAAGGTAGGAGTTGCTTTGGGAAAGACTTCAGCTTTTTATAAGGTTTATAATGTTAGTCACATAATCTTTGTTGTATTTCTAAGTTTTATTTTTAGAATTCGAGCAAGGTTTTTGGTTGGGTGAGAGGAGCAGAAAAGTGCTACTTTTTACTGACATTATCTTGTGTTATTTGAGGGTTCTTTTTCTGTTTATTATTTTAGTCACTTAATATGTTTAAGTTTTTTAAATGTAAAGAGTGGTGGCCATACACCAACTAAAGGATGAAGAGGGTTTGAAGTTAAGACAGAGAGAATAGAAAAGTAACCAACTTGAAACAGTCTGGAATCCCTAGAACTGTTCCTTCTGTTCATTCCCCTGCCTTTCTTAAATCAACCTCTCCCCTAGATCATTATAATCCTATATAATAAAAGGCTAATATGCAAATAGACCAAATGGTGGAACAACCAACCGGTCACTATGATGTGTGTTGACCACCAGGGGGCATGCGCGGAACATGGCGGGTGTCGGCCACGGTGGGATGGTGGAGCAGGTGAGCAGGGGCACCAGACCAAGGCGGGGCGTGGTTGCTGTCATTGGGGCGAGCCTCTGGTGGTTACTGAAAATTCTTTGCTCCTGTGTGCCGTAGTCCCGTCCAGCACTCGTATCTGCCCCTCAGGGCTTCTCTACCTCCTCCTGCTCCTGAGGGGCAATCGGGGCAGCAGCTGCCGCTTGCACCCACTGACAGTGCCGGCCCCAATTACTCCACACCTTCAGCGGGTGCGAGCGGGACTGGTGCTGTTAGTGTGTGGGAGCGGCAGCAGTGACGGGGCCGCGGCAGGAGAGGGGTGCGGAGGATGGGCCAATACCCGCCCCTGTGCCTACTGCAGCCTTGCGGCCCACAGTTCCTTTCAAGGTGCACGAATTCGTGCACTGGGCCCCTAGTAGTCCCATAATTAGTTTCTCAGAACAAAGGAGGATAAAGAGTAAAAGTTACTGGAGAAAAACTTTTCCAGCAGTATATTATTGCTGCTTTGGGCTTGGAGTTATAGGTGGAGTCTATATAACTATTTCTTTTTTAAAAAATTATATTTATTTCAGAGAGAAAGGGAAACAGACACTTCAATGATGAGAGAGGATCATGGATCGGCAGCCACCTGCACGCTCCACACTGGGGATGGAGCCTGCAACCCAGGCATGTGCCCTGACCGGGAATCGAACTGTGACCTCCTGGTTCATAGGTCGACTCTCAACCACTGAGCCATGCCAGCCAGGCTATATGGCTATTTTTTATGACTTACATAACCTCCATTGTCTTCCTAAAGTATTTATTTGGGGCATTTTTTCACCCTGAAAATGCAAATATTCTTGAGCTAATACTGTTTTGAATTTTTATTAAAACTTTATGTATATGAATTCTAAAATTTCTACTCAGAGCTGATTCTTTGAGACGATCTTGGTCCAGAGGAGTAATTCTTTGGATGACCTTAAATTTGTATTGCTAGTACTTAAATTCTTCCTGAAAAAAATCTTCATATATAATTTCTAATTTTTTATTTTAAAAAATTATATATAATGCAAACATGCCTAAATATATCTGGTGAGGATTAAAAAAACAACATGGTTCCTTAAGGTGATGTTTTATGGCATATTTAAAATTTGTGCATATCTGAATTTTATGTTCTTGTAGAAAAACAATTACTTTTCATTAACAAATGCAGACATAATAGTCAATGTTGGGAATAAGTATTAACCATCATACTCCTACACCCTAGTCCTTTGCCTGTCTTACTCATCTACAAACCATCCCATATAAATACCCTAGCTGCCAATACAAAAGCAGAATTTCTTGCCCTCTTCTCATAACCTATATCCTTTTCCAGTTTTTCCTTTCATTTGATACTCGTTTCTTCCTTGCCAAGCATAAGAGTCTGTATTTCAAGCTAGCTTGAGCTCGCTGTCCACCAGACTCACCGACACAATGGCAACCAAGTGGCCGAGAGACAGAACCCCACGTAGAGACGGGGTTTTATGGGGGGGGGGGGGGGTTGGCCAGGCGCAAGTCGGTGTCTTGTTCCTGGGTGTGGCTAGCAGAGTCTTAGACTTCCGGGAAGAAGCTCCTTGCCAAGCACGTGGCCAAGGTAAGATGGAGGACATAGCCCTTACCCTGGGGCAAGATGGAGGGCGTAGCCCTAGCCCTTTCAATGACTAGGTTCACTTCTGGAGTTTCCACATTCCATTCTATTTTCAATCTTATCTGCTTACCTTCTCAACCTTCCCAAAAGTCAAGAAGTTAAAACATTTGAGTACATCTCAGAGTACCCTTATCTGCAGTTTTAGTTACTCATGGTCAGTGAAGATCTGACAATATTGAATGGAAAAATTCCAGAAATAATGGTTTTAAAATTGTGGGCCATTCCTAGTGTAGCCTATTAGTTATGAGAGGCCACATTCACGTAACTTTAAATTAATTGGCTGCCTCCTGCATGGCCCCTACTGGGGATGGAAGCCACAATGGGCATGTACCCTAACTGGGAATGGAATCCTGACCTGGTTCATAGGTCAGTGCTCAACCACTGAGCCACACTAGCTCGGCAGACTTAGGGTTTTTTTTTACTAGCTTCAGAATTTTAGGTAGAAGTCAGTTTTCAACTCCTACCTTACATTCAAGACCTAAAGAATGCTGTCCAAAAACTGATGGGAAGTATTCTGTATCCATGTTGTGTAATAGTGTAGCCACTAACCATATGTTAATTCTAAATATAGCTAGTATAACTGAGGAACTGCCTTTTAAATTTAAGTAGCTATATGTGGCCAGTGGTTCCTACTACAGTACATTTGCAAAAAGTACGTTTTTATCCCCTTAGATCCTCTGCCCCACTCAGTCTGCTATACATAACAGGCTTAGCTTGTCCTCTTCATTTTTTTCAAAATCTTAGTTTTCCCAGCAGCTCATCAATCATGATTGTAAATTCACCCAACATATATTTGAAATTGATCAGATAAAGTACCAATATTTTCCCTGCTATTAAGTTTGAGGTGGGACTCTTACCTTTACATATAAATAAAAATTTTCAATTCTTGTGGAATCAAGTTGAATAATTTGAAGAAGATTCACTTACAAATTTACTCTTATTTCCTTAATTTATAACCACATTAAACATGAAATTCTGTATTTCAAAAAACACAAAAGATATGAGTAAGAATATCACTGCATTTATTTTCAGACAGGTAATTTTTCTACAGCTTTAACATTTTCTTCTCAAAAATAAAAGCTTAGAACTGGATCACTTGGCCCTTTCTCTTCTTATCTCCTCCCAGTTCAAAATGCTTGCATCTCTTAATGGCCAGCATCCTCTTTGATCTGCAGTTAGCGTCGGAACATTCAAGCCTCAGCACAATCTTCTTTGTAGTTTTCGCTTTCTTTCGGAAAATCGGCTTTGTCTGCCCACCGTAACCACTCTGCTTCCTATCGTAGCGCCTCTTTCCCTGGGCGTAGAGGGAATCCTTCCCCTTCTTATACTGGGTCACTTTGTGAGACCGATGCCTTCCACACTTCTTACAGAAGGTTTTTCGGTTTTTAGGCACATTCACCATCTTGGCAGTAGAGGTGTCTGTACGATGGAAACTGTTGAGATATTTAAAATAGATTCAAACATTTTGATAAGGACTTTATAAGTATAGGAAAATAAGTCAGTAATGTATAAATCCACCAACTACTCATTTTCCGTAAGTGTACATACAAGTTTTTGTGCGCACCTCTTTGGAATGCTTAAATCATTAGCGCACTTCTAGAATGAGACTCACTAAAAAATAGCAAAAGCGTATAAAGGGGACTTAATTGACAGTGGCCGCGAAAAAGAAGAGCGTAGTGATGATTGGTTAATTTTCTACCACCGAGAGGGCTAAGGCTGGAGTTGCTTTTCGAGGACTCCTCGCAAGCCCTTCCACGTTCTAACAGCTCCTGGGTTCCGTGCGCGCGGAGCCCACCCCGTCCCTTCCCCGAGAACCGCAGGAGTCTGGTTTCGCATTTCCCCTCCGTAGGACTGTGCACCGTCACCCACCCGCCGCCATGAAGGCCCGTAGGACCGTGCACCGTCACCCACCCGCCGCCATGAAGGCTGACGTGTCCTTAGCAAGTGCCTCCCGGCCCAGCAGCGCCATGCGTGATCCCCTTTCCTGAGACAGAAGCCGCTCTTGAACTCTCTCGAGCCAAGGCAGCGGGGCTTTCCCACCGTTTCCTACCAGGGCCGACCCATCCCCGGACTCCGAGCACTAGAGGCCCCGTGGGGACCTACAGCCCGACCTTAGCTTACCGGGAAACTCGTAGTCCACGCTCCCCGCTTAGCTCGCTCGCTCGCTCGCTCGGCTCGCGCCTAACAGGAAATGGAGGAAAGAAGCGGAAGCAGGAACCGAGCGTTGAGCGACAGGGCCATGGACCAATAGGCAACGAGCAGCGACGGCCGGGTACCTCCGCCGGCGTCTTGGAAGCGCCAACCAACGGCCCCAGGGGCGGGGCGGAGGGTGTGGGCCCGAGGGCCCCGGGGCTCCACGGGCCAGTCTTAGGTTGTCAGAGCGGTCGCCGCCGGAGTGGGGCGAGCCTTGGTTGCGCGGTGTCGGCCGTCTGTGGCCCGCGTAAGGATGAGAGCGCAAAGGACGCAGGGCCGCTGGAGGCGCAGGTAACGGAGCGGGGTGCGGTGGGCCGCGCGGGGCTTTTGCTGGGACCCGTGTTGAATGGAGAGGACAGAGGCGACCCCGAGCCCCGGTCCCTAGCGGAGGGGCCGCTGTCGAGCTGCAGCTGTCCGACGAGGATGAGTGGAGCCCGGCGGCGCGGGGAAGCTGAGAGCCTGCGGGTCCCAGGACCCCCGGGGCCGGGGATGAGTTAGCGAGGGCCGCCGCGGGGGCCAGTTCCGACTGCTACAGGCCAACGCGACGGCCACCGCCCGCCCGCCCCTTCCGTGCAGAAGCCGCTAGCTCCTTCCCGCACCGCCTGCCCGCGCTCCCAGCCCCGGAGACCATGAGGTTCCGCATCTACAAGCGGAAGGTGCTCATCCTGACGCTCGTGGTGGCCGCCTGCGGCTTCGTCCTCTGGAGCAGCAATGCGCGACAAAGGAAGAGCGAGGCCCTCGCCCCGCCGCTGCTGGACGCCGAGCCCGTGCGGGGTGCGGGTGGCCAGGGCGGGGACCATCCCGCCGTGTCCACGGGCATCCGCCGGGTCTCCAACGAGTCGGCGGCCCCGCTGGTCGCGGCCGCCCCGCTGCCCGAGGTGGACAACCTGACGCTGCGGTACCGGTCCCTGGTCTACCAGCTTAACTTTGACCAGACGCTGAGGAATGTAGACAAGGCCGGCTCCTGGCCCCCCCGAGAGCTAGTGCTGGTGGTCCAGGTGCATAACCGGCCTGATTACCTCAAACTGTTGCTGGACTCACTTCGAAAAGCCCAGGGCATCGACAACGTCCTCGTCGTCTTTAGCCATGACTTCTGGTCGACAGAGATCAATCAGCTGATCGCTGGGGTGGACTTCTGCCCTGTTCTGCAGGTGTTCTTTCCCTTCAGCATTCAGTTGTACCCCAACGAGTTCCCGGGCAGTGACCCCAGAGATTGCCCCAGAGATCTGCAGAAGGATTCAGCTTTGAAGATGGGGTGCATTAATGCTGAGTACCCCGATTCCTTTGGCCATTATAGAGAGGCCAAGTTCTCCCAAACCAAACACCATTGGTGGTGGAAGCTGCATTTTGTATGGGAAAGGGTCAAAGTTCTTCGAGACTATGCTGGCTTCATACTTTTCCTAGAGGAGGATCACTACTTAGCCCCAGACTTTTACCATGTTTTCAAAAAAATGAGGAAATTAAAGCAGCAAGAGTGTCCCGAGTGTGATGTTCTCTCCCTGGGAACCTACACTGCCCCTCGAAGTTTCTCTGGCATTGCTGACAAGGTAGATGTGAAAACTTGGAAATCCACAGAGCACAATATGGGTCTAGCCTTGACCCGTGATGCTTATCAGAAGCTGATCGACTGCACAGACACTTTCTGTACTTACGATGATTATAACTGGGACTGGACTCTTCAGTATTTGACTGTATCTTGTCTTCCAAAATTCTGGAAAGTGCTGGTTCCTCAGGTACCTAGGATTTTTCATGCTGGAGACTGTGGTATGCACCACAAGAAAACCTGTAGACCATCCACCCAGAGTGCCCAAATTGAGTCACTCTTAAATAGTAACAAACAGTACATGTTTCCAGAAACACTAACTATCAGTGAAAAGTTTATGGCACCCGTTTCCCCACCTAGGAAAAATGGAGGGTGGGGAGATATTAGAGACCATGAACTCTGTAAAAGTTATAGAAGACTGCAATGAAAAATCAGTTACAAAAAGTGACAGTCTTCTATTTTTGATATTTGTACCAACAGGACAGACAATTGAATAAGAGTTTAGGGATTGGTTTCTGCTTTAATATGAAAAAAAATTCTTGTAAAAGGTGTACAATTATAGTACTCTTTTCCTTTTATGTCTGATTAAGATTTAAAATACAAGTTTTCATTTTGGGAGTTGGGTTTTAAAGCTCAATCTGTATCTGGGAAAGGTAATCATTACTGTGAGAGAAGAGAGGAAATTTTATTTAAATTGCATCTATTAATCTTTTTACTTGGAACTTTGTACACTTTTCCACTTTAAAACTTAAGTACAGCAAAATTTACTTAAAATTGTCATAGCAGTAGGAAGTATTACAATGAAGTAAGTATTAATGGAACAAGCCCAGTTTCACTCTCCACACAGTTACTAGGAAGAGATTGCTTCGCTGGTTTTATAATTCAAAAGTTATGTTTGTTAAACACCCTGTCAAAACAATCAATTTCAGTATTACAGATTCCCGTATTATTGTGTTAAGATTTGCCTGTGCTTTGGAACCTTCATAGAGCACATTTTCTTTTGGAATGTATTTGATTGATAAAAAATTTTAACACTGTTTCACCTCAATGTAGAAAAACAGTGGTTTTGTTTCTTTCTTTTCTTTTAGTCTGCCAAAATAAAATACTCATTTTTGCATAAAAAGGTTCCTAATCATTTTGCAGAACAAATTTTGTTTACTCTTTACACCAAAATTCAGTAAAGACATTCTAGAAGTTTTAAAGTTAGCATTATATCTTCATGTTTACTGTTTGTACGTTGAATTGAAATAATAAAGAAAACCCAGCTCTTGACAATGTATTTCCTTTGGAAGAAACTAGCCAGGCATAGATAATGAACAATAAAAAGCTGCTGTGGAAGTGAAATACAGCCAGAAATGATACAAAGTTTAGTCATGCCAAAGTGAAATATGTTCTAGTGCCAGCTTTATTTTAACTGAAGTCATACTTTTTAAAAGGACAGATACAGTAAATAATAGGAAACAGGCTTAAAATTTACTCCACGTTTAATGTAGAAGTTTCCTGTAACAATATACAATTCCATTCAATCAAAAATTATAGACTAATTTCTGTGGAGTTATTACAATTATTTCAATCTACGAAAATTGTGTTATTAAGTGGACATTTTCAAAATTACTGCTTCCAACTAAGATTCATGTTATAGTTGAAAAATGCATCTGGTCATCTAAGTTGGGGCAAATAGTTCTCTTGCTTTGTGAGCTAGCCACATTTATACTGTTCTCAGCTCAGTCTGGTTCCAGACTTTACCAAGATTATAAATGTAAAGAATAATAGCTTTTGGTGTTCTGATCTGACCTCCCCAGTTCAAAGGACTAAAGATATTAGGTAATTTCCAGGACTAAGGTAAAGCCAGAAGTTTGAATTGGTAGCTGTTTTTCGAACAAATGTATCAGGTCATGGCCTTTGGGGTCAGAGATTAGGTCAACAGATATTTTCTTTCATCCTGTCCTAAAAATTTTTGTGAGAAAAACATCTATTAGGATTTTCTTCTGACCTCAAATATAAATACTATTCCACAAAATTATTAACTTAGCCACAGATACATTACCTGCTGCCACCTTAAAGTCATTACTAAATAACCTGTATTAAATATATATATATATTTGGTGACAGATAAGAGTAAAATATAGAATTGAAGCAAAAATACTAAATTTCATTCAGTGTGTTTGTATTATAATTATTTGAATTATTAATATTGGTTAGTAAAGTTCTTTCATCTCTAAGAATCTCTATTTCAAGCATAAATACATCTTATTTAGTGATATTTCTAAATACAGTTTTGAGATTCTGCCCCCCTTACAAATGCAACTCATATTTCTAGTTACATTCTTGAGAGTTGCTTTTTGCGACAGACACAACTTAGTGAATATCTTGAAACTTTTTATTAAAGTGTAATGGTAAATAAGCCAAAAACAAACACAGAAGTAAATATATACAGGTTATATTAAAACTAAATGTTTAACTCTCAGAAATAATATACATCTCTCAGAGGAATCACAAAACTTATCTCCCTAATGAAGGAAGCTGTATAAACATGCAAAAAAATATCTCCAGTTTCCCCATTAGAATCAAAATTGCAAATTTTAATTTCTTGAATATCTTCAGTTTTTAAAGAGTAAACAGAAAACCTATTTTAAATCCAAAATATACTTTCTTGAATATCTTTGGTTTTAAGGTAGTAGTTTACAGAAATAGAATTTAAGTCCAAAAATTTTCTACTCTTAACCTTTAAATTCTGAAGAATTAATCCAAGTCATATAGCAAAGAATTCTGAAAACTGAATGCACAATGAGTCACATGATCTTTAATAATCTGCACACTACCATCCTGCATATTCGTTTCTTTTATGTTGTCAAAACCAGGAATATTCTGAACTGTTAATTCTTCCTCTTCAGTCATTACTGGTTCTTTTAAATTATCTTTCTCCTCACTTGAGTAAACACCTTTTTCTTCCATTTTTGACTCAGGTTGCTGAGACTTTCCAAATATTTGGGACACATCAAGAGAGTCTTGTTGCAAGTATTCAACTGAACCACAACTGTCTAATTCTAGTACTTTAACAGCTATAGATGAATCAGAAGCAGTTGTTGAGGTGGTAGGATGTTCTATTTTTTTTTTAGTTGGATGACTTCCTTCGTTGACTTTTTCTTCCTTTTCATGAAGCTGTTCAGAGTTACTACATTCTTGCAACTATGTCAAGAGAAACAACAAGTTAATAATTCTTTGAAATAAATAGAAAATTAAATTATAGTACCATTGGGGAATTTTTTTTGTTTTTACGTTGTGAGGGAATAACCCTTGTAGACCTGCAGACAGGCTTCTTCCTCCTCCAAGTCATCCTCCACATGCTGCCAGTCATTTATTCACAATGCAAACCTGGCCTTAATTCTCTGGTAATCGTTTCAATGACTCATCTCCCTCAGGATAAAATAATCCTGGCTTACAAACCCTTTAACAGTCATTCTTACTAGTAAGGGCATTCTTGAATTTTCTTGAATTTCTGTGATTCTTCAAAGCCACTCTCCCCCACAATTCATAATTGCCAATTGTGCTAGTTAACTAAATCATTTCTGTATTTAATACTGACGACTAAAAATAACCAAACTTAAGATTCAACTAGAAAGAATGAACAAACTGTGTGACATGGTTACCATGGTCCCTGGACTAACTTCCCAAATGTCAGTTTTTTTCTATTCCTCATTCGACATTTATTTTGGGATTAAATTAGATAATATATATGAAAATGAACTGCAGTGTTTAGCACATAGTAAAATTCATGCAAAAAACTCTATTCCTCATCCCAGCCATTATGTACACTTAGCTTAAAGTTTCAACATCAAAAATTAAGTTATTCATTAGGCTTTAATCTTGTCCTAAGTCACTATTCTATAAGGCCAATCAAAATCCTTACCTTTGTATGAATTTGAATCTTACTATCAGTAACCTGAACAACTTCAATTAACGGTGAAGTTAGGGGTATTGTCTGTTGGAATGGAGGGCTCAGGACCTCTTCAAGAAATTCATTGACATTTTCTTCATTGACAAATAACCTCTCCTAAAATAAAAAGAAAACATATTCTGCTTTATAGGTCATACTTCACAGTGTTATATAAAAACAACTCATAAAAGTTCTCACATAGTTCAGGATTACACTTTTAAAATGTTTAATGTTATTTCTATGCTTTCTTGGCAAAAGAAAACAGTCTTGTACACAGCAAGAGTGCCCAGCCAGCATGGCTCAGTGGTTGAGCGTCCATCTATGAACCAGGAGGTCATGGTTCAATTCCTGTTCAGGGTACATGCAGCGATCCCCAGTGGGTGGTGCAGGGGGCAGCTGATCAGTGATTCTCTGTCATCACTGATGTATTTATCTCTCTCTCCCTCTCCCGTCCTCTCTGAAATCAGTAAAAATACATTTTTTAAAAATAGCAAGAGTACATACACATATAGGAAAAAAACCCTAAAAAAAAAAAAAGTTCAGTTACTCTTCTTCGTCTCTATTGAATCTAGGTATGTTTTCTCTCTTAGATAATCTAAATTAAAAATTGTATTTTCTTTCACTTTTTTCTCTTAATATTTTATGAGAAATACATCACCTTTTGTTTTTGTTTTTTTGTTAATCCTTGCTCAAGGATATTTTTTCATTGATTTTTAGGGAGAGTGGAAGAGAGAGGGAAAGAGAGAGAAACATCAACATGAGAGAAACTCATTGATTGGTTGCCTCCTGCACGGGCCCCAACCAGGGCCTGGGCCAGGGAGGAGCCTGCAACCAAGGTATGTGCCCTTGATCAGAATTGAACCCGGGATCCTTTAGTCTTAAGGCCAGCACTCTGTCCACTGAGCCAAACTGGCTAGGGCTTACAACACTTCTTAATGAGTCAGCTAAGAAATACACATGACAGGATCTATTAAAATTTTGTGTGAACTGTTTGCCTTTTAGTTCTTGTTCAGGTAAGAGCTAACTAATATTTTATGTAAAAGAAATATATTTTACTTTTAAGCAATGAGAAAATCCAGTGTGACACCAGCATATAGCTATTTATAAGAATGAGATAGTTTACCAAACTATTAGGAAATGCAAAAATCACATTCACAAAAATCCCAAACACAAAGCAATTTCTTCATATTTATGTCAAGCGAATACAGAAATATTGTTAGGGCACTAAGAGAATAACTATATTCATAAAATAAGTTCATTTTTGCCCAAAGTAAAAGTATTTTCCTCTGCACTTTCATATAAATAAATTTAATAAGTTCATTATTTAGTCAAAATGAGGACAGAAAATATGAAAGAGACAAGTTTCAAGTTTCCTTCTATTAAACACTGTTTGAACTTGGGAACACCTACCAAACAAGTGAACCTTGGGAACAGAAAAAATTTATTTTTGGAGTAATTTGCCTTGCTATTATTTGAAGATCAGAATAACACTGTATTATAAAAATGCCCCCATCAAAAGCATTTCTAAGTTTCCTGTCTCTGGAAAAGACTTACACATTAATTGTAAAAATATATACCAAATAGTTTAGTTTTTTAGTTTACCCAAGGAAAAATAATATGTATTTAGAATAGAAATGGTTATGATTAAAATGCAATTTGCATAAAATTGTCTTCACATTCTGATGACTGATTTTACTATAAAAGATACTGTATTCAGTGGAACTAAAGCTTTAGGAAAATTCCCAGTAAATATTTAAGGCTTATATAAATATATTTTGTACTTGTTTATGTGTAAAGTAACAATTCTGAACTTGACAGCCACAAATCAACCTTATATTATAATTATTTTCATATAACATGTGTAATATATCTATTATCTACCCACCTACTACTCTTGTGATTTTTCCGTATTTATTAATTTTCAAGAAAGAGGAAGGGAGAGTGAGAGAGAAGTATCTATGTGAGAGTGAAACATGGATCAGCTGCCTCCTGCTTGCCCCCAACCTTTCCCAACCAACTGAACCACACCAGTCAGAGCTACTCCTGTGATGTTTTAGAAATTTAGTAAGAGCATGGTCTAGTGACAGTGAACTGTAAAATAAAAAACATTATGATTCTGTCAGTCTTAGGAAATGTGATTACTAATGAAGAAATTATAAATCTATTTCAGGCTTCAAAGATATGACACAGTCGCCATAATCTCATTTTTGTCTGGTTTCTTTGCTAAAATAATATTATCATACTAGAAAATCAGATTAAAATATATTTTTTAGTATTTTCTCAACTGTCAACAAAGCTTTCTTCCCATATTGTGAGTTATTTTCACATTTATTAAGACAATTACAGGAAAACGACTGCCCTTTCCTAAATTTTCCCTTCGAATGACATAAACAGATAATCAATTTCCTATTTTATATTATCACAAAGTATTTTACCTAGCCCTGGCTACTTACTTTACCACTTTTAGAAGCTTTCAAATTAACCACTTCTCACAGAAGATATCCCTCATAAAATGTAAATGTAATTTAGCAAGTTTCTAGAAAAACAATGGGGAAGAAGTGAAAATTTCTGGCAGGTTAAAGCCCAAGGCTAAAAACTTAATTTTTAATATATAATCTGCAATTTGTGTTGTTTCTGGGAATTAAACCCTTGAATATGTTAAAAGAGCTTTAAAATTTACATGTAACACTGATACAGACCTCAATCAAAACCACGAATTGTTCATTTGTGAGTTTACAAAGTTCTTTCGAACTTCAAATTTAATTTTTTTCAGTATTTGTCCGTAGTTTATATTACACTGTTAAATGCCAGCCATTGTGTAAAATACTAGATGATTAAAACAGATGCAAAAAGAGATGTAATTTCAATGTAACATAATGCCCACCGGAGGACAACCCTACCAAGTTCTGCCACTAAAATCAAGCAGCACTATATGGTCAAAAGGGCAGGGAATTTATTTAGATTGACACCTCATTCTGAATTCATTTTTCTACATAAGAAATATGGCTAAGTGACTTTTGCTCTCTGGAAGTAAGCTGTTTATTTTCTAAAGTTGGACAGTATTACTTACCAACTTAAAATATGGCCCTAACAGAGTGCCTCTCAAACTCTAATTAGTCATCAACCCCTTTGAGAGTATGACTAAAGTTATAGCCCTTCTGCCCAGAAGAAAGCACCCTCAACTTTCTGCATACAATCTGAGAGGTTTATGGATTTCTGGGAATGCATTCATGTCCTCCTCAGTCAATGGATTCCGGGGGAAAAATGCATTAAGGACAATTCTGAAGGTTTGAAACCCATCCATCAGAAGGGATGCGTGAGTGTTTCTTCAATATGCGTTTAACGTGCACTGACATCTTTCATCACGTGTATCAACTTCAAGTAATTTCGAGAGAAGTTCTAATGAAAAACACTTTGTTCAGAATGTACTGAGGGGATGTAATTTTAAAAGTAGGATGGAATATTTCAAATACTAAGACTCGAGAAAGAACTGTTACCTCCAAAGAATCGTTGTTTAAACCATAATACCACTCTCTCCAATGTCCATAGCACTCTGAAGATTTGGCCAGTTCTATTACTGCATTGTTTGAAGAAATGCTAACCACTGGTTCTTTGATACTCAATTTATTTTCTGGAGCAAACTGCAAAAAGAAGGAATAATAAACTAAGTCTTGGGTGGAGAAGCACAATTTGTACCGGAGGGAGCTCACATCCCCTTGAAGACTTTGCGGTTGGATCCGAGGCACTAGGATGAGCAGAGTCAGGGATTCTTCATCCTGATGACACTGCAACGGAGGACAGAGAGGTCCCCGGCTGTCTGTCCCGGGACCATCCATGGCTGGATCGGAAGGCTCCCTGCCCGAGTCTTCCCGGGCCACGCGGGTCCCAACGCTGAGACCTCCGCACACACTCCCTCCTCCTGCAGGAGGCCCCCAGTCTAGGTCCCCGGGCGAGCTCCCAGTTCCGGGAAGCGGTTTCTCCTCGATCCCGGCAGTCGCCACCGCTTGCCCGCCGAAGTCCGGTTCCGGTTCGGAGACAAGTTCCTCTCCTGCGGCATCCGGCGTGGTGATCCCGGAGTCCCCTTCCCCGGCGCGACCCGCAGCCGGGCCCGTCTCTCCTTTGCGAGCGGAAGTGCAGGCCGCGCTGTCGGTTCCGGCCCCGGCGGGCTCTTCCGGCGCCGCTAGGGGCTCCCGGCGCGCGGCGGACGGCGCCACGGGCAGCGTGACTACCAGCTGCCGCCGGGCCTTGTTGAACTGCGCGTTGCCGCGGCTGTCGTCCACCGGGTACGGGAGCGAGAGCCGCAGCTGGTAGTCGGGTTTCCTCGAGTCCAGACACAGCAGCTTTCCCGTCACCTCCAGCGCCGCCTGCTCGGCCGAACGCAGCAGCGGCAGCTCGATGGTGACCACCAGCTCCTGGGGCACGGGGCTGGGGGCCGAGTCCCGGGAGCAGCGGTAATCCTGCAGGTCCACGCGGGAGCTTCCCCACGCTGGTATAGCGAGGCTCCGTGGGGGTCGGGGGCCCATTTGGCGGGGAGGGCGGAGGGCCCGGGGCCCGCCGAGTTCCGGGCGGCCGCCGGGCGCCGGTAGGGGTAGGGGAAGTCGGGGAAGGAGCTCTCCGGCTCCCCCTCGGGCCGGGCCGGGACACCCCCGGGCAGGGGCGTGCGCAGCACAGCGGCCTCCGGAGTTCCCTTGTACTTGATCTTCAGGGTTTTGGCATTTCTGTGGTCCAGCTTCACGCCGAACTGCTTCTCCACGGCCTCCAGGGCCGTGGCGTCCAGCATCTGGCGGAAGCGCTCGTGGCGCCGGGCCAGCGCGAGCGCGTCTGGGTGGAAGACCACATCGTAGACCGTGTAGCGGGTGCCGCGGCCCCCCGGGTACTCGCGGCCGGGCGCCAGGCTGTACGGCAGGGACCACTGGCTACCGGCCGCCGCGCTGCCCGAGCCGGGCCGGCTGGTGGGCGAACCTACCAGCGCGTTGCTGCACACGTTCACGTAGCAGCGCCGCGCCCCGTCCAGGCTAGTGCGCAGCACGTGGCCGGGCTCCGGGTGCACGAACTGCACCTCCACTCCGCGCTCACGCTCCAGCGCGGTGATCTCCGCTTCGTAGCGCCGCCGGTTCTCGGGATCCGTGAGCTCCTCGGCGTACTCGGAAAACATTCGCCGGAACTCGGGGTCCTGAAAGGCGGAGGTGAGCCGCTGGACCTCCTCTCCGCTCAGATCCAAGTCCTCCAGCGGCGAAGAGTTCGCCGCCTTGGCCATGCTGCTCCTCAGCCCCTAGCCCTCAGCCGCCTGAGAGAATGGGACGCGCCTTGGAGTCCCAGGCCCAAGGCCAGTAAGCGGCCGAGGTCAGCAACTGACAGAGAATTGTGCTTGGGCCGCGTGCTTATTGCCATGGTGACGCCACCCACGCGCAGGAGGAGGAGGCAAGGAATTGGAGTGGGATGGTGGAAGTGCCAGAAATAGCGTTTCAGTTGCTTCAAACTAACCAACTACTCTGCAGTCTTTGTATTTTAGATTCCTGTGCCACGGCACAGTTACTTTTGCATTAGAAAAACTATCATAATAATTGTCATAACTTCCAGCATATATTTCATCTACATAGTTCATAACGCTTAAGGGCAGAACTGATCCCCTTTTCACAGAAAAGAAATGGGACCTGAGAAGTTACCTAACCAGGGTCATGCAGCTCGTGTATTCACAAGCTGGGATTCATACCTTTGTTTATGTTTTTTTCACTTCACTAAACCCATATTTCAATCTTCTGAATATTTTTTTGTAATGTATTTTTTATTTCAGAGAAGAAGGGAGATGGAGAGAGAGAGAGAAACATCAATGATGAGAGGGAATCATTGATTGACTGCCTCCAGCACGTTCCCCCTATAGGGGATCGAGCCTGCAACCCAGGCATGTGCCCTTGGCCTGGAATTGAGCCCAGGACCCTTCAGTCTGCAGGCGGTCACTCTATCCACTGAGCCAAACCGGCTAAGGTAATCTGAATATTTTACCGTACAGTTTGCTCTGTAACAACTCTCATTTGAGGCAAGAGATATGGGCAAGCTATTAATAAGTAACTAATGATCAAACATATAAGACTTCATTAATAAAAATGCAAGTATAAGATACCACATCACCTATCAAAATGGCAAAGTTGTTTTTGTTTTTACAATTACTGTATCCTTTGGGTCATGGTAGAACTTAGTAAAACCTTTCTAGAGCATAGTTTGGTAGCTGTATAAAAAGCTTTTAAGCCCTAGCCAGTTTGGCTCAATGGATAGAGCATCGACCTGTGAACTAAAGAGTCCCAGATTCAATTTTCTGGTCAAGAGCACATGCCCAGGTTGCGGGCTCGATCCCCAGTGGGGAGTGTGCAGGAGGCAGCTAATCAATGAATATCTCTCATCAATGTTTCTATCTCTCCCTCTTCCTTCCTCTCTGAAATTAATAAAAAATATATTTTAAAAAATAAATAAAAAAAGGTTTATACTTGATCTAGAATTCCAACCCTAAAACATGCTCTAGGGAACTCTAAAGGTTAGTGAAGAATCTAAGAATTCAACAGTGGGACTGGTTGAGCAAATTTTGGTACAGCCATACAATGAGATTCTTTGCAGCCACTCAAAGTAATGTTATAGAAGAGTATCTATTGACAAGAGTAGTTACTAATTAGTAGTTGTTAAATCCAGTGATTATTTTCCTGTTTTCATTTTGTTGAAACTCACCAACATTTCACACAATTGATGTCATTATCTCAGTAACAAAACACTTTCCAGACTTCTCTCCTACCTTACCAGACACTTAACACTGCTTTGCAGGTGTTTACCTCCGTTCAGCTTGTAAGTGGAAATGCATCATGCGTCAAGGCTGGGTCCCCATCTCCTCCATTTACACTTTCCTTCACAAATAAATTTACACTCATAAATACCAGACTTACATAGCAGGTTCTAAACTCCAAATTCCTATAGCCAGTTGCCCATTTAAGGTCTCCACTTGAATGATTTAATGCTTAAATTCTTAAAGCTTGAAATGACCAAAAACAGAACTCCTGACCCTTTCCGTGCTGTATCTTATGATCTCTTGACAGCATTCAAAGCGGTTGACTGTGCCCCCTTGGAACACATTTCTCTTGGTTTGCAGAATTTCATGCTCTCCCATTTTCTTCCTCTACTTGCTTCCCATCTGCCAGTTCTCTAAATGTAGGAGTCACCCAAGGCTTATTCATCAGCCTTCTTCTCTAATCATACTTCTTCCCAGACGATTTCATTCAAGCCCACAGCTTTAAATGCCATTTATGTTCAGATTCATTCAACAGAATTGGACACCTGTTGCACCTATTGTATAGGTAGATAAGTAAGTATGGCAGTGTTCTAGGCACTGGAACAAAACAAAATCATTATGCCCCAAACATGTAAAGCAACTGGCACACTTGTATGCTGGAAGTGTCTATTGGGTCAATCACTATGGAAAATTGCTGTTAAATATAATGTATATCTTATGACTAAGAAATTCTGTTTCTAGCAAAAGACATAGACTAGATTTTGTATATTCATAACAGCATTATTTGTAATAGACAAATAGTGGAAATTACCCATATTCCTATCAATAATAGAATGGATATATAAAATGTGTATATTTACAATGGACATGAGGAAACCATGTGGATGAATATCACTAACATGTGAGAAACCAGATATAAAATACATACTGTATGATTCTCATATAATAGACAAAACTTGGCAAAATCTGTTAAAAGTCAGGCTAGTGGTTGTCTTATACACACACACACACACACACACACACACATATATAGTAAATAGTAATTTATAAATAGTTATTGAACAAATAACCATGGCAAAATGTAGAATGTTCTACAAGTGAATAGAGAGCACAGGGGTGGAAGAGGAGGCCCATATGTTTTAATGATGCTTATATCTTCTCAGCCATTCACTTCCAGGGATTGTAATACCTCCCAAGAGATTCACTGCAGTCATCTCTAGGTGGTAGAGTTGTGGGTGGTTTTAATAATTTTGTTACTAGTTTTGAGTATGTTTCAGTGTTTCAACAGCAAAATTTTTTCATTTGTGTAATAAAAGTAAAATGGTAATGATCACAATATATCATGACTATAGCTGAAGATTAGGCAGGTGAATGGAGTGAAGGGAAAGTCTTAATGACAACGTAATCCCAGTGGTCCTTGGGGTCATAGGTATGTCACACCCAAGCATCACCACCAGTTTATTCTGCCTCCAGTCTCAAGGTCATTTTTCTGTCTCTGATACTCCATGCAACATCTTGAGGCAAGACTTGTGATTGAAGGGTATTCCTCATGGTTCCCATACACACCCTCTTTTTCAGGAAGTTACTTGAAAATGTCCTCCAGCTAAGCAAAGAAAAGCTTTTAATATTTTATTGATTTCAAAGAAGGGAGAGGGAGAGATAGAAACATAAGTGATGAGAAAGAATCACCAATTGGCTGCCTCCTGCACGCCCCACATAGGGCGTCAAGCCATTCTATTTATATATCCATTCTATTATGCAATCCATGCATGTGCCCCAACTGGAGTCGAACTGTGACCTCCTGGTTCATAGGTCAGTGCTCAACCATTGAGCCATGCCACCAGGGCATAATTGTCCTTTTGAGGGCTAGTGGAGTGTTGTGATTGGAGAGGAAAAGTGAGCTTCTGGGGTGAGGGTAACATTCCATTTCTCAATTCTGATAACAAGGTTTGCAGTTTGTAAAAATTTATTTAGCTGTATTGTACACTGACAATGGGATTTTTATGTAGGTACTAGAGGCCTGGTGCACGAAATTTGTGCACTTGGGGTGGGGGTGTGGAGGCCTCAGCCCGGATTGCACCCTCTGGCAGTCCGGGAGCCTCTGGGGATGTCCAACTGACGGAGGTGGGAGGGGGGGAGGGAGGGCCTAAGCTGGCAGTAGGACATCCTTAGAGCCGCTCGCCAGCCATGAGCCTGGCTTAGGGCTTCTGAATCATACTGACCACCAGGGGGCAGCTCCTGTGTTGAGCGTCTGCCCCCTGGTGGTCAGTGCACATCATAGCGACCAGTCGTCCCGCCGTTCAGTCAATTTGCGTATTAGCCTTTTATTATATAGGATATCATACTCCACTTTAAACGTTTTTCAATGTGCTTTTATTTAAATATATTGGCTTTTTAATTGAATTTTAGAGAGGAAGAGAGATAGAAACGTTGATGAGAGAGAAACATCATTGATGGGCATGCTCTCTACTGGGAATCAAACCGGAAACCTGGTGCCCTGACCAGGAATCAAATTGGTGACCTCTTGGTTCTTGGGTTGACGCTCAACTGCTGAGCCACACCGGCCGGGCTAAACGTCTCTTCCTTTCTCTCTCTCTCTCTCTCCTCTCCTCTCTCTCTCTCTCTTCTTTCCCCTCCCCACTTCTCCCCTCTCCTCCCCTTCCCTTTCTTTCATTTTCATTTTTTTTTTAATTTAATTTTTTAAATTCTCACTCAATATTTTCCTATTGATTTTCAGAGAGAGTGGAAGAGAGAGGTGAAGAGAGAAATAACAATGTGAGAGAAACACATCAATTGGTTGCCTCCTGCATGAGCCTTGACCAGGACCCGGACCAGGGAGGAGCCAGCCTACAATCGAGATAAGTGCCCTTGAATTGAACCCGGGACTGGCTGATGCTCTGTCCACTGAGCCAAATCATCTAGGGCCGGGCTAAATGTTTTTCAATGTACTTTTAAAAAAATATTTCCCCACATGGATCTCATGTGGAATGAGACCATTGACTCCCAACGTTTTATCTCCAGTCCTACCTGACCACTGAGCCCTACACTCATGCCACTGCCTACTAGATATCTCCACCTGGATGTTTAATAGGCATCTCAAATAGAAATCCTGGTTTCCCCTTCTCAAAATTGTTATTACCCAGTCTCAGTAAATAGTACCATCAACCCAGCTGCTCAAGCTTAAAACCTAAGTGTAAGCCTTGATTCCTCTCTCCCCTGCCCTGCACTGCCATTCAGTTATCTAGTCCTATTGTTTCTTACACACCCCAAATATATCCACTTCTTTCCATTTCTGGTCTGAGCCTCCCTCATCTCTATTGCAGACTTATGCCATAGTTTCCTGACTGGTCGCTTCACCTCTTCTTTACGATCTTTTCACATAGTAGCCTTAGTAATTTTTGAAACCAGAGCTGCTGAACACCTTCTAGTAGACTCACATCCCAATTCCTTACTTGTGTTTACAAGGCTCATCATGCTTGAGCCCTAAACTCCATACCACTGAATTGTCTCCCCTTAGATCATTATACTTCACAGAGGCAGAACACTCATCTTTCCTGTGCAGCCTGTGCATGGGACCTTGAGTCTAAAGATCGTCACTGTCACTTTAGTGACTCGCACCTTCAGCACCCCATCTAAAATTGCCCGTATCATTTTTATTTTCAGCCTGGTTCATATTTGGTACTTTATTTTAGGGTATGGCTCACCCATTTGAAGGTAAGCATCATGAAAGTGAGGATATTGCCTTTCTGGTTTACCCCTGGATTCCTTAGTATATAGAATATACAGGGATGGGCAAAAGTAGGTTTATAAAGAACTCTGTGCCAAAGTATGTTTGAGTATAGCAGGGAGACTCAAGAATATGTACATAATGAAGGTCAGCAATTTGAGCACATGCAAGATTATACCTAAGTGCACTGTACCATTGTGATATTCTTTTAAGTTAGTAAAGCTACTGTAATAATCATAACCTGCATATCTTTTTCCAAATGAGCAACTGTAAACCTACTTTTGCCCACCCCTGTATTATCACTCAGGTATTTGATGAATGAATATAGTAAAGAAAAAGGCAAGTTTAGCTCTGGTCGGTGTGTCTCAGTGGTTACAGCGTTGGCCCATGCACCGAAGGGTCACAGGTTCTATTCTCAGTCAAGGGGACATACCTGAGTTGCAGGTTTCCATCCCCAGTCAGAGTACATGGGAGAGGCAACCAATCAATGTGTCTCTCTCACATCGATGTTTCTCTCCCCCCTCCTTTCCACTCTCTCTGAAAAGCAATGGAAAAAATATCCTGGGGTGAGGATTGACAACAACAAAAAGGCAAGTTTAGTGTGCATAGTATGATCCCTAAAATACGTATTTTTAAAATATATATTTCAGAGAGGAAGGGAGAAATAGAAACATCATTGATGAGAGAGAATCATTGATTGGCTGTTGCCTGCAAGCCCCCCACTGGGGATCGAGCTGGAAACCCGTGCATGTGCCCTGAACAGGAATTGAACCGTGACCCCCTGGTTCAGAGGTTGACGCTCAGCCACTGAGCTACACCGGACAGGCATCCCTAAAATATATTTAGAGGAAAAAATGTATGCATAGAGAAAAATCTGAAAGGATCTATACCAGAATATTAACAGATTATCTCTGATGGTGGAAATGTAGGTCTTTAGAATTTTTTTCTTTATGATTATTTGTATTTCCTAATTTTTCTATTATGAACTTGTTTAATAAAATGTTTAAAGCCCAGCCCTGGCTGGTTTGGCTCAGTGAGTGGATAGTGTTGGCCTGTGGACTGAAGGGTCCCAGGTTCAATTCTGGTCAAGGGCACATGCCCAGGTTGTGGGCTCGATCTCCAGTAGAGGGCATGCAGGAGGCAGCTGACCAATGATTCTCATCATGGATGTTTCTCTCTCCCTTTTCCCTTCTCTCTGAAATCAATAAAACTATAAAACTATATACTTTTAATAAATAAATAAAGCCCAGCCGGCATGACTCAGTGGTTGAGCATCAACCTATGAACCAGGAGGTTGCAGTTCGATTTTCTGTCAGGGTACATGCCCGGGTTTGGGGCTCAAATCCACTGTGTGGGGCAGAAGCAGCTGATCAATGATTCTCACATCATTGATGTTTCTCTCTTCCTTTCTAAAGTCAATAAAAATGGATTTCTAAAAAATACCCTACAATTTAGGTCTTAGATTTACATCTGAAATGGTTTTGAGGCATAAAGATGAATTCTAGATCTTTAAAGCATGTGGAGGATGTATTTTCTTCTTCTTTTTTAAAATATTTTATTGATTTCAGAGAGGGAGAGGAAGAAAGAGAAACATCAATGATGAGAGAGAATCATTGATTGGCTGCCTCCTGCACGCCCCCTACTAGGGATCGAGTCTGCAACCTGGACATGTGTCCTTGACCCGAATTGAAATCAGAACCCTTTAGTCTTCAGGCCGATGCTCTATCCACTGAGCCAAACCAGCTAGGGCTGGGGGATGTATTTTCTATTATAACCCTGATGTCAGTGAACATACCCAATGATTGGTTTCAGTTTATTTTGGTACCTTTGTTAACTTCAAAATACTGGACAAGTTTCATCTTAATGATATTTCCAAACATGAACACATGACAACAGACCACACCTGTTTGGGAATGAGAATGGCCTTCAGAGTTCCTGAGCCCTCTGAAATTATATGTGAAATTATAAGTGGGGGTAGGCTCATGCTGATTTTTCTGAGGGACCTTAGTTTTCATTAGATTTTCTAAGGATCCATGCCCTCCACCTTCCCAAATTTCTTACTTTGTGGCAGTCCCTTTCCCAACAGCTCTTTGGGAAAAAATGTGGAGTTGAGAAGCTCCTATGCCCCAAACAAATGATCTTTTGTCTAAAATTCATCCCTTAAGGAAAGGATATCCTTATTAAAATACGAATGCCTTTCACGGGAGATGGACTGGGTATTAAAGCCATTATCAGTTATTAACCCCTTAGTCCAACCTACTTTATTTTATCCCCCCACAAATATTGCATGCCAACTCTATTGGGAATAGGGATCCAGAGTAGATGGTCTGACACCTGCTGACAAGCAACTGGGAGCTCGTCTGTACAGTTCCAGGCACTTTCTGTGGTTTCCCCACACAGAGACCAAGTATTGCTTTTCTCGCCCTAGAGAAATCTCACCCATATCTGTCTTGTGTGATCTACCTGGTCCCTGCTCTGAGGCACACCATCACCTGAAAATGCCTCTCATACCCAGATTTCTGCAGTGAGATGAGCCTGCTTCAGCTGATGAAACACCAAGTGAGGGAGCACACCACCTCTGTTTTTACCTGCAGCAGAAGCCCAGGAGACTCTTTCAGAGCTGCTCCTCCATTGCCCCATCATTCAGACCTCTGCTTCCTTTTCATTTCTGGATGATGCTGATCCCCACCTGGTTCTAGTTCCTGTCTTGTCTTATTCCGATACTTACTGCCTGGTTCTGGCAACTTCTCTGCTCTTAAATAATTGTTTTGCTTCATCTCATTTCACATTGCTAACTCCTAAATACACCCTATCTTTCTACCATTAACTGTGTTCCTGAAAAAGTCTCAAATAGCTCATCTTTATATATGGAAGCA